TTTATATGCTATAATATATGAAATGATATAAATCATACAAACTGTTATATAAATGATATACATCATAGAAATATATATTAATATTTACCAATTTTTATATATATTTATATGTAATTTTTATTTATATATATATATATGAAATGATATACAAGTATATATATATATATATATATACGTTTTTTTGTCAGATGGTCTATGTTTTGTTGTCTTTGCCTTGATTGACTCTCCTCAGAGCAGATAACCTAATATGTCTTCAGCTTCATTTTCTGCTCAAGGACTATAACATCTCTTATTTTTAGTTTCTTTTTTTTTTGTCATTTTGGCCTGAATTATTAAATTTTATAAGTCATATCAGTTTTGTTGTTGTTGTTATCAAACAACTTTCTTTTGATCATGACATTTGGGCTTACTTCTTAATGTCATTTCATGATCTAATTTTTATTTTACATCTGTCAACCTTAGTTTTAGATATAAGAATATATATATATATATATATCTTACTATATATATGAAGAAATATAGTATTCATAGTTTTCAAAAAGGTATTTGCATATAAGTGAATATGATAATATGTATATATATATCCATAAAGATAAATTAAGAGCTCAATATCATTTAGGACTCAACATTGCTTGAAGTATATGTAAATATAAATTTTATTAAAGGTATTGAGTGAACACTGAAGTCAACATTCAGAGGTGACAGACTGTTTTCTTGTTAGATGTAATCATTGACTTCTGACCAGTTTTTTTATTTAAAAAAAACAAAATATAGAGCCTAGATTTCTTTTTTTTAAAAAATAATGATTCTATCTGATACAGAAATAACTATGTTTCGAAACTGGTCAGCAGTATTCAAGTTTAATTCAGTCTCAAATGTTCTAAACATCACTGGATGATGAAACTACATGTTTTTTAAAAAAATAATGATAGATAGATAGATAGATAGATAGATAATCCTCATTACAATCTTCTATCTAAAAGAATAAAAGAGGAGTCATCACTGGAAGCAACAACTTTTACTTTTTCAAGCTTACCCAAATCAGTAATGATTATCTGATATTTTTCTCTCTGAGCTATCTTAATAGTTTTAATGACTTGTTTGGTGCAGTCAGCTTTTTCTGCTTCATTAATGATCTCATTTTATTTCCATTATTTCATTATAATTCAAAGCTGGTCTAAATTGCGTTGCTATCTATTTATGCTGACCAATGAATTACCCGACTTTTTTAACTTCATTTCATATTTTATCTTGAACATTTTAATTAATTTACAATGTGACAAGCACCAAGATTGGAACATATACATCTTGCCAGTGGTTTACAGTTTCCTCAATTAATATCATTAAAATTAGCTGAATCTTCTAATTTAGCTTTGAAAACTTCATGAATCTACTCCATAAAAAAACAGTATGTAAAAGTTCTACAACAAAACATTAGTTCCCAACTTGGGTTGTAATAAAGTCATGCAATGTATTTTTTTAAAAATACTATATAAAAATGTCCTGTAAAAAGTTGAATGGACTGATTCTATCTTTATTTCTGCCACTTTGACTATTAAGTATCATTTCTATAAGATATCTGACCACCAAACCACCTACTTACAAATGTAACCATGTCTTAAATTAGCCTCCAAAGAAAAGCACAGGAAAAAATGTCTAGAAAATCTGTTTCATTGTAGAAAATTGATTTTAATATCCATTGGTTTACAAATCCATCTGAGAATATTGTTCCTATGACAATCAAAAGATTTTCCTTCAAACATTTTTTGCTATTCATCTTGCATGAATAAACAATTTCTCCATCTTTGTTTATACATTATCATTTTGTTTATATTCTTAGCTGATGATTCTTCTTTTTCAGTTTATGGCCATATTACTTTGAAACACCAATCCTTTTATAGTCACTGAAATTAAGCAACAGCAAGACTGATCAGTATCTAGATGGGTGGTTGCTTGGAAATACCAGGTCTTGTAAGCTTGGATGTGAGTGTGGTCATAACACAGAATTGGAAATTGGAGAACCGAGTTCCAATTTTGGTTGGGTTCATTATATTCACTTATGGACAAATATCTTTGGAAAAAGTATGAATCCTTTTCTCGCCTACCCCAGCAATGGGTTAAATAGTAGAACGTATCAGTAAACCATGATTATCTCCAAAGAATTTTTACAATCTAAAAATAATTTCTGGCTTTAAATAACCTGCAAAAGTCTCATAAGCTGTCAGAAAAAAAAGATATCAACTATTTTTTTTCATATACTTTGTTTAACATCCAACTCTGTAGTTCTTTTTTCCTGGAGGCATGGTGGTGTAATGGATAGTGGCGTGGATTGCGGAATCGGAGAGCCGAGTTTGAATTCCAATCGAATCCATTACATTTACTTACGTGCTAACACCCTTGGGAAAGGTGTGAATCCTCTTTCTTCTCCCTCCAGCTATGGGTAAATAGCGGGACAGACTGGGTTCTATAGCCTTGGATGGCAACTGGTGTAGGAGAAGGAAAACTCTGAATTCAAACCTGCTCTTAGAGGAGGGTGAATGGAGTCTCTCTGAGCCTTGGTTGGCAATCCATTTAGTGTTGGTGTCACTATAAAAACACCCTTGATAGCCCTAGTGAAGCATCAAGAATTCAGCTATTTGACAAGATTATGAACTACACCAATCAAAGTATTGGTGAGTTCAATCTCGGCTGAGGCTGCAAGATGATGATGAGTTCCTTTTTCTTTGCCATCTTTAAGTAACAAGCTTTAATATACTAACTTCACATTTTCCCTATCAGATTTCTGTGTCATTTATCCTCCACTTTGAAATTGTGTTCAAATTCCAAATAAAATGGATCTTCTGGAGTCATGACAACATTCATCATAAATTTACTTCTCCCTGATGCTTTGTTCACTCTGATTATAATATCCATTTTTCTACTCTTTTCCATTATCGTCAGAATATTCCTCAAAACCTTTGGCCAGTCTCTGAACAGCTGCGTTCAAAATGTTGGGCCATTTTACAAAAATACTGATAATTGAATTTCCACATATTGTTGGCACGTACAAATAAAGGTGCTTCAAATTATGCCAATTAATTTCAAAAGAATAAAGTGATAATTTCAGGATTGTCTTCATGACTTAATTTCACAGCCACACTAATATGGTGAAAAAAGTGAAGTACTTTGGTAATAAAGATTTCCTTGATATCTATGAGGGGATGTAGGAGGTTATCTTATGATAATGTTAATTCCCCCCCCCCCCATATATCACTATATTTGGTTTGTTTGTATATTGGCCTTGTGTAATGATCAAAAGATAATGCACAGAGTGTTGAAAAATAAAAAATAAATCCTTATTTAACAATATAATAATGCAGAAGGATGAAGTGACAGCTGATGTTTCAAGTGTATAAGTGTTGTGGTAAACCCTCTTACAGTATAATGAACTCTTACTTCTCTCATAAATACAAACTGCATGAGTCGGACGGGAGTGCAGAGTGTAAAGTGAGTGGAGTAGTAGACGCAGTGCTAATTTACTTATTACTAACACTATTGTTTTGTATATATCTTCAATATACTTTTTTAACCAACCTTTGTCTTCCATGTCTTTTTTCTGGCCCCTAAACAGGCCACAACAATAAGTCCTGGCACATATGAGAGAGACAGTGAGTTCAGGTGAAAGTAAACATATATGTATATGTATGTATCCAAATGTAGCAGCTACCTGCTTAATAATATGGGTGAAAAAAATATGTATACTTTCAAATGTAATAGCAGACTGTTTAAAAATTGTGAAAGAAATCACGTGTTTTTTAAATGTCGCAGACTGTATAAATGTCTCATGTCATAAGCTGCTTGTGCAAGTATCATGTTTTAGTGTTATAGATATGATAACCACAGCATTGGAAAATTAATTCATAAATTTTGATTTGGAATGATTTCCAGTCTCATTATATATATATCTCCAGAGATCTGCTTTGGAAGTGTCACTCTGCTTCTGATTGGCTCATGGCCTTATATCATGGTTGTGAAAACATTCTGATTGGTTGGTTGAAATATGGCTTTGTGGCCTTTTGATTCTGAATATACATCTATTTTTTTCAGAAAGTTTGTTCTTGTTATTATTTATTTTTTTTTTAAATCACTCCATGTCTGAGTTTTGGTAAAGTATGAGATCAGGGAAGAAGCAACAAACTGTCTGCATTCAGCCTTTTTATATTTTCTCACAAATAATAATTCCTTCTAATATTTCCAAGAATTAGTTGTCTTTTACACATGTATCTTTTACTAATTCAAATTCTGGACTAGTCTGTTGTGTTCACTTTCACACTTATGCACTTGGAAAATCTTAAATCTCCTCCCCCCATCTATGGGTTAAATAGCAGAGTAAACTGGGCTCTCTTAACTTGGGTATCAACCAATCTCAAACACTTTGAATTCCAAACCATGGAGTAGGCAATAGTAAATAATTCCACTATCTTTCCCAAAAATTAATGGCAATTCACCTGATCATGCATGTCATGAAGGGATATCTCATTTTTTAAAAATATTCTAACTTCTAAATGTTTTTTTTTTTCACTTGGATAGCTAAAATATCTATGCAATTTAATGGTAATCTTTACTTTTATTTGTGTACTTTACATAGCAATATCTTTCATAAAAAGTAGATAACTTACCTTGCAAAATTTGAGTAAAAGCCGCAGACATATGTAGATATAGTAATGACCAGAAGAGCTACATATTTAAGTTTTCTCTTTCTTCCAATCATAAATCCTGCATTATCTTCAAAGTTTACACATGTTCTTTACTCTTATCTAAGCAGAAGAGCAATTTTCATCTGAGCCATATCAGCAGAAATGTCTACTCTAACATCTGTTGGAATCAATGGCAAAATGTGATGGGCTTACAGCCATATCAAGTAGAAACATTGGTGCCGGTATGATCACTGAAGTTAAACAACATTGAGCATGGTCAGTACTTAGATGGATGACCACTTGGGAATACCAAGTGCTGCAAGCTTGGATGTATGAGTGGTGTAATGGATAAGGGCTCAAGATTGTTAATCAGAGATCTGAGTTCCAAATGAGTTTTGTTATATTTACTTATGCACAAATACTATTGGGAAAGGCATGAATCCACCTTTTTTCCCTCCACCCATCTATCAGTTAATTAGTAAGATTGTATCACTAAATCATTATTATTTAAAAAAAATAAATCTTACAATCTATAAATATTTTTTAACTTTAAATAACCTACAAAGGGTTGATAAACCGTATACAATATATATATATATATATATATATATATATATATATATATGGTGGACTCTCTCATTGTATTCGATGTATGAGGGGCAAGAAGCTCAGTTCCTAGGAACTGACAGCCCAGACACCAGCACATATAATTTGATTGACTACAGTGGTGAAGGCTTTGTGCAGAACCAACCACACTTTTTGAAGGGCTGAATACAGAGACCTGGTGCACTACGTGCCACAGGGTCCCCAAATGATCATCCACAGATTTTGAATTTAGTTGTCCTTTTCCTAGACCAATTGCCATCCAAGCCTATAGAACACAGTCTGTCCTGTTATTTAACCATAGCTGGAGGGAGAAGAATAGGATTAATATCTTTCTCAAGGGTATTAGCACGTAAGTTAATATAATGGATTTGTCCTCGGCTCTCCAATTACTCAATCTGAGTTGCTATCCACCACACCTTCTAAATATATATATATATATATATATATATATATATATCCAGGATGGAATAAGCAGCTCTAAAAAGAGTCTGTCCAAAAGTATCCCACTGGGAGAAATGTTCTCAATGCCATAATAAATGGCAGAGCTTTAATATTAATTTAAAATCCAGGAAAGCAGTGACTGGCCATAACTTTAAGTTTTGTGTATTTGCACACAATCATCAGGCAACGAGATGATTGTGCGCAAACACATGAAACTTATCATCGTACCAGTCACTACCTACCTTGTTTTTAAATTAATATATGTTAAGATAAAGATGAAAAGAAATAGCAATTTTTTTAGCATTGAGGATGAAATGATGTGGCTAATGAAGAATCTGAAAGTTTTCTCAATATATTTCTCTTCTTCATTTAAGTATTCAGGGATACATATCATAAGAGCTCTGAGGTAGAATCCCTATGATTGGTCCACATTTTATTCCTTGGTTGTGGGCCAAAGAGAAATGGATTAGTAGAATCCTATGATTGGTCCACATTTTATTCCTTGGTTGTGGGCCAAAGAGAAATTAATTAGTAGAATCCTATGATTGGTCCACATTTATTTTGTTGTGGGCTGAACAGAAATTGATTAGATCGTTTTTGTTAGCAAGTTAACAATAAACTTTAAAATATAATTTCTTTTTTGTTCTGTATTAATATGACATTGAGGCAAAGTAGAGAATTCTTTATTTCAAATTCATGTGTGAATTCAATGGTGGGTTTCATTATTATGTCTTATATGTTGCTATCTTGTGAATGTATTAAGAAAACGTCATCTATATATCTCAGGTAAGTAGAGCTTTATAGTATGATGTGGTGAAATGAAGAGGATTCTAAAAATTCTAGCAAAAGGCAAGTAAGAACACCACTGAGAGGTAACCCCACAGGTAAGCTGGATTTCTGTTTGTTGAAAATATTGTTGAAAGAGAAGCAGCAGTGGTTAGTGATTAGTTTTCATAGTTTTATAATTTTGTGGACAAGTAGAGGAAACTTTTCTTTGAATTTTTTGAGGTGGTTTCTCAATACATTGAGGCATTTTGTGACAAGTATGTTGGTATATAGCAATTTGGTGTCTAAGCTTGCCATAACCATGTTTTCCATATTTACATTTCATATTCTCTGGCTTAAGTCACCAGAGATCTTGATATATGTTGTGTTGATGGTGCCTAGGAATGGAGTTAGGACTTCTGCAATAGCACTAGCTAATCTGTGGGATGCACTGTTGATTCCAGACACAATAGGTCTGATGAGTAAGCTGGGTTTGTGTTTTGAGTAAGCCACATAGTGCATGTGTGGTGGTGTGGTATTCTACCATCCAACATTTTCTCTACTAAACTCGTAAACAAATTAGTCATCCTTAATACTAGGATCATTACCACTACCTCCAAGACAATTGGAGATATAATTAGGAAGAAAAATAAACACAACACCAATTCAAATTCTGGAATTTATCAAATAAATTGTTTACAATACATAAATGTTTATATGGGGTAGACATCACACAATCTAAAAAGCCTGCATCTATGAACACAAGAGAGATCTGCGTTTAGACAAATGATCTCTCTTCATAGAAATGATGCTGGACATCACTGATTTCACTGATGCCACCCTAATTAAAAAAAGAACATAATTCTACAAAGTGAAAATACACTGAATAATAACATTATTACCATCTCTATGCACACTCCTAAAACATTACATTGCCATCTTTCTTTGAATCACTTCTTAAAGAATCTAACATATATATCAATCTGCTACAAGGAATATGTGCATAAAAAAGAACAGTCCTAGATTAGAGTGTAATGCTAACACCCCACTGCACTGCACAAAGGTGAAGACATTATAACTCATCCTACAAGACAGACACACATACACAATTACAATACACATTACTATCTGATGTCCGCTTAGATATACAATAATCCTTACAAATTAACATACATATAGAATTAGTTATAGTTTCAATGCATGTGGGATGTGACTGACTAATGAGTATTGACCTAAACAAAATACCATAGTTATGTCTTCTTGTTACATACACAGATGCCACTCCAGTTAAGGCAAACTCAAAAATAAAACAAAGAATTCTTAGATAATGTAAAAATGGAAAGCAAGAAGAAAAAAAACTCTTAACTGTGTCAGGATGTAAAGTGTGCATATCTGCATTTGGTTGAGACAAAGTTACAAGTGTCATGTTATGGCCAGTGAGTGATGCCAGTTAGCTTGGTGAAAGGAAATTGCTGTTTATTTCACCTCAAGACAAGACATGTCTGGCCAGGCCAGTCGCTAAGTAAGCTGTGAAGAAAGCTTACATAACAAGCCCATAGTGGTAGACTGAACAGAAGAGCACATATGGTCTAAACAAAAACATAAAGGGCATCACCACACCAGCATTCTCTTTTTTTCCCCATTGGTAAATATTATAAGTAAGACCTTCTTGTTTTTCACTCCTTTCATACTGCTTGTTGTATACATATGTTATAGTTACTGTGTGGGGAAAAAATTGTGATAAGTATCTTATATATAAAGTACAGTGTTTGTGTATGTCTGTCCAAATAACTCCTCTGCTCCCACTGGTTTGATTTCAATGATTCATAGCTCATCCAAAATCCCTAAAAAAGTTAGGCACAGGGAATGATTTTCATTGAGCTCAGATTCAGAGTTTCCAGATTATGCAAGGTTAAAAATATATATTAATACATTATACTAGCCCTTATCATTGCTTTCATGGTATAAGTGGGGGTATCTCTTATTTTCTTTTGATATCCGAAATTACTGTGCACGTTTTATTATAGACTAGCTTAAAAGCCACCCTATCCTGTGGAGGGTTCTTGGTTTGACCATCATCACAATAGGGAGGGAGGAGTGGATGCAATAGGCATCCATAAACAACAGAAGAACTTAGAATTGATCACTGCACTTAAGAATTGAATTAATGTTTAAGCTTACCTTTTAAAAGTTCAACAATAATTCTTCTGCTTCCACCTTATTTAAAGATGATTTGATGTATATATATATATATATCCATTATTTTCCATATAAACAATTATTTTTGTTTCATGGGTGCAGAACAGGGGGTAATTTATAAGATAAAATTAATATAGTGTAAAGATGGGAAAACAGAAATGAGAATTAGTTATACATTCAACATTTGAAGAATTAGAGAAACATAATAGCTATATTATGGAATCTATATGAATAGATGTAAAATTGGAACTCAGTTCTCCCACAAATTCTGAGAGTTAAAAATCCCCAGAACTACTTTATAGTAATTTGGTATTTACTCGCTTCCCCCACAAAGTCCCGTTGTGACCCAAGACCATTTTAATGTGAGGAGCCCAAGCTCATACACCCAGGTGAGCACCAATCCCTCTCTCTAGTGCAATGAGAGGGCACAGACTTGGGCAGCAGTTCTCCAGGGCCAGCACTTCTCAATATAATTTTTCTCAGGTGAGGCTCTTTTCTCCAATGGAGCCAGCCATGAGCACAATCTGCCCAAAGAGAAAGATGCAACTGATAGATGATAAACACTTTATAGTAATTTTTATTGACTCAACCCTCCAAGGTCAAGGGTCAGTTTAATGTGGGGAACTTGAGCACATACACCCAGGCTAGGAACAAAATTGCCTGAGCCCCTGCAACTGCTGGTTGTGCTGGCCTCAGTGTGAGCACCAATCCCTCTCTCTGGTGCAATGAGATCGCGTGGCCTCTGGCAGCTTGGTACCTCTCAGTATAAATTTCCTTAGTTGCAGCCACCCCTGAGCTATACCCAAAGACATAGATGATAAATGAATGTGTTACATACTACTTTGTATCAATTTACACGGCAAAAGTACAATATCTATATTATATATTATTTACTACTAGGCAATATCATTCTTCAGGTTTGACTAATTTGCATACTAATTTTACAAAAAAGTTTATTTCATTAATTAACTGCCCTTCATTACTGTTCTTTTATTCAAAGATTGTTTTGATTTTCATATCAAAATTTGTAACATAGTTCTGTTTAGGAATATCATCTTATATAGTGCAGAAAAGCATTTCAAATTTGAATTTTACTTAGCCTTCAACAAGTTGGCATCTATTTGTAAAACTTTCCTTAACAAGCCAATTTATGAATGAAATGCTTGTTTAATATTTTTGTCTCAAGTAGTGAATATATCTTACTTAAAAAACTGATAGTGAGCTGGCGAAGTCTGTATACACACACACATATATATATATATATATATATATATATATATATATATATATATATATATATATATATATGTGTG